AACTTGGTCTCCCGAGAGGAATGGGCAACGTCTTTAAGTTGAGTTTCATATTTATAGACCACGTGGGCAACATTTTTCTCTTTGAATCATCACAATAATATTATCCCCATTCTGCAGATGAGAAGCCTAAGGCAGAGCTGGCTCTAGTGACTTCAGTTTCAGGTGACGTCACACACCCCAGGCAGTGGCAGATCCAGGAGTGGGGATGGCATCAAAAGTGGCATCTTCACTCAGCATAGCCGCTGGCACATCATAGTTGCACGGTAAAAGTCATCTGTATCAAATCCATGGACATATCCCTTGTCAGTTAGCATTTCTCTCAAGGGAAGTTCAACTTCAGTTTGTCCATCAGGAGAAAGACTTACCGAAGAGAAAGTGGGAATACACTCTTGTTAAGACCACGGAGTAATGCAAAATATATTCTTGTGAGCCAACACGGAATGAGCTAGCTACTAACCTGGGATTTTCTTTTCTTTCTTTTTTTTTTTGTGGTATGCGGGCCTCTCAACCGTCGTGGCCTCTCCCGTTGCAGAGCACAGGCTCCGGACGCGGAGGCTCAGCGGCCATGGCTCACGGGCCCAGCCGCTCCGCGGCATGTGGGATCTTCCCGGACCGGGGCATGAACCTGTGTCCCCTGCATCGGCAGGCAGACTCTCAACCACTGCGCCACCAGGGAAGCCCGGGATTTTATTTTCTAATTGAATTCTTTTTTAGTTTTAAGGAGGGCTTTCTGGGCTTTTGGTAACATTCTATATCTTGATCCATCTGTGAAAATTCATTGAGCTTTATTATTTGCATACTTGAATTAAACTAAATACTTAGAAATGTTCTTTAAAAAAAAGAAAAAGGTCCTAAATTGGCATTCTGGCTAAGACTGTGATGGGGGCGGGTCTCAGCAGCTCGGGCGGCGGCGGCGGCGGCGGCGGCGGGAGGAGTGGCAGCGGTCAGGCAGCCCAGCGTCACGAAGCCTCTTGGCGCATCTCGGCCTGCAGGCACCTGGCACGCGCCGGCCCCGCCACCACGATGCCCAAGAGGAAGGTCACCTCCACCGAGGGGGCGGCGAAGGAGGAGCCCAAGAGGAGATCGGTGAGGTTGTCAGCTAAACCGGCTCCTACAAAAGTGGAAACTGAACCAAATGAGGTGGCAGGAAAGGATAAATCTTCAGACAAAAAAATGCAAACAAAAGGAAGAAGGGGAGCAAAAGGAAAACAGGCCGAAGTGGCTAACCAAGAGACTAAAGAAGACTTCCCTGCAGAAAATGGAGAAACTAAAAACGAGGAGAGCCCAGCCTCTGATGAAGCAGGAGAGAAAAAAGCCAAGTCTAATTAATATCACACACCTGTGAATTTTGCGCACTCTAACATCTTTGGTCATGGTAATCCAGTTCTTCTAGTAACTTTGTTAATGTGCTGTGACTGACAATTTGAGTATGTAGTGTGTACGATATTAAAGTGTGAATTAGGGGGACTGATGATGTAACAGCATATCAGTATTTGAAGATATTGCTACTTGATTTCCTCTCAAGGAAAATTTGCCTCCAAATTTTAAGCTGGAAAGTCACTGGAATAACTGTTCAGAAAAGAATCACAAGTACATGATTTTTTAGATTTTTGTACATATGTTAAGAATTGTGTACAAATTGAAATGTCTGTGTACTGATCCTCAAAACAACCAATAAAATCTCAATTATGAAAGAAAAAAAAAAGACTGTGATGTGGCAGAGACCACTAGGTGTCTCTCGATCTCACTCTCCATTTCTGCCTTAGAAGGCAACTCCTGATTTTTAACTGGGCACAGAGCCAGGTGGAATAAAGCTACATCTTCCACCCTCTCTTGCAACTGGGCGCAGCCTGGTGACTCAGTTCTGGGCAGTGGGATATGACGTAACCATAGCATGCAGTTTTCAAGAAGTCACCTTCTTTCCTTCCCTTCTCCTTCTTGCTGGCTTGAAAGTAGATGAAATGGCTGGATCTTTGCAGCTATCTTAGTCCAGGAGGTAGAAACTGTACTGTAGATGGTGGCACACAGGACAGCTGGTCCTTGAGTATCATGGAGCTCCCACAGCAGCCCTGAACTGCTTTCCTTCAGATCTCTTTTTATGAAAGTGAATAAACTTCTATCTTGCTTGAGCAACTGTTCTGGGTTTTCTGTGATTTGTAGCTAAACTTAATCCCAACTGATACATAGGATGGGTGCCAAATTCAGGTTATTTTGAGGAGCGGGAGGAGAGAGTGTGATCAGCTTCAACTCTATTGGTAAAAAGTTTGTTTCTTAAACTGGGTGGTGGGCATAAAGGTGGTAATTATATTTTAAACTTTTTGGGTATATCTAAGTATCACATATTAAATCTTTAAAAAACAAAGGTACTGGTAGAAATAGTGTCAAAGCAAAACCATGAGACACACGGAAAAATAATCAAATGGTGGCAGTTTGGGGCTTCACCCTGGCTCCGTGTCCAGATCGTCTTTGATGTTAGGGTTTGAGTGCAGCCTCTGAATAAGCCTCATGGACAGAATGAGCAAGACCTGAAGGGGTCTGTGGGTACCAAACCCGTGTTTGGAAGCAAGAAGGGAAGAAGAAGAAGGCAAGGGCTGGGCCACACTCCCTCCCCCATGCTGCCCAGACCCTGTCTGGGTTGGGTCACCAGGAAACCCTCATTGCAGACAAGTCATGGAAAGGTCTCTTGACCCCATCCACCGGCCCCATCCCTCTGCTCTCCACCAATCCCCACTGTCATTTTAAGGGAGTAAAAAAAAGTGTACTTAAAACCCCACATTTTCATTGCAATAAATTCAACCAGATGCGATTAAAGTAAAATGTGGACATAGTTTCCTCCTCTGATCCAATCCTACCCTTCGGAGCTAGTCACGCTGAACAGCAGAGCAAGCATGTGACTGCTGGCAAAGCCAGGTTGAAGGCTGGAACCCCAGGGAGACCAGGGAGATGTCTTTAGCCACTGGTGTCCTTTGCCTGGACACTGCCCACAGATACTGTAGGCTGCAGTGGTGGGGAAAGGGCCGCTGCTGTTGAGGGGCTAGGCTTAAGAACTCCTTGAACTTGTAACCCAGGCTCACCCCTGGGATCAGAACATTCCAGAAGAGGTAGACCTACTTCTTGTCTTGATTAGCCCTCAGCCCTTTGGCCACACCTCACCGGGAGAGGCCCCAGAACCCAGGAGGCTGCTTTCTCCCACCTTTGTGATTCTCTTTCAAGTGCTCCTGAGTACATGGCAGTAGACATTACAGAAACACACAGATAGACCAGCATCTTTGTGGGATATCCCGAGCCCGATGAATCATGTGTCAGGAAACTGGCATCCTCAGCCTCTGAGGGTTTACGGCTGCAGCGGCAAGAATAGCTTGTGGTGACACGTATGTCTGTGCTGTGCCCAGTAAAAGTACGATGGAACACCTCAGCTCACCTCTGCTTTGTCAGAGGATATAAAAACTATGCTCACTCCGTTCCCTGAAAGAGCCATGGAGACCTCATTGCTTGAAACAGGAATTGAGACAGAGCTTGACTTTTACAATTACAGTCATAGAAAGGCATTTAGTTTTACTACTTAATTGCCTTTACTGAAAAGTTGGGACTGTTCTAGTAAACTCAGACTCCCTATGTCTAACCCAATACTGAGTAGGAGGCACCTAGAATGTTGTGAAATGGCCTTTCGTGTGGATTAGCTCATGAAATCCACACATTAAATCCCCAAATTTGGGAAATAGGTAAAAGTTATCCCTAAGTTACAGATGACTGAACTGAGGCTTAGAGGGCTTAAATAACTACCAGAAATCACACAGCTAGTCAGTAGTGGAGTGCATATCTGAATCAGGCAGGCGGACTTCAGTGCCAGAACCCATGGGCTCAGTCAGTATGGTGGTCTGCCTCTCTGGAGTCCTAAGGGAGCCAGATTCAGCTGAGGTGCTGTGGAAGGGAGGTGTGGTTATTCATTACAGAAAGATAAGAAGGGCATCATTATAAGGGCAATTGGAACCAAGAGGCAGCCTTGATAGAATTTTCTGTCTTGTGTCATCTAAGATGCTTTTTGCTGGTGAATCAGCAACAAAACAAAGCAACCAAAAAAAAAAAAAAAAAAAAAAGACCTAACCAGTGATTTAACTAATAAGGAAGACATTTACTATCTCACATAACCAGAAGTCCAGAGATAAGGTGGCTCCAGGGTTGGTTAACTTAGCAGTTCAATATTGAATGCAAGGCTTCAATAGCAAATGCAAGACCCAGGTTCCTGCCATGGTTTTGCTCAGCCATCATCAGCACAGTGACCTTTGCAAGCTTGTCCCTCATGGCCGCAAGATGGCTGCCATCACTCTCACACAATGTCCAAAGGCCAGAAGGTCAGAAGAAGACATAACTTTTCCTCATGCCCCTTTTGAAGAATATGGATCCTTCCATTTATATCTCCTTTTATGCCATAAACATGCCATGCGTTCATTCTTAAGTCAACCATTGGCAAGGAGAATGGAATTACTATCATGATTGGTTTGGTTCTGAACCATGGCTGTACACTAGAATCACCTGCAGAATTACAAAACAAAACAAAAAAAGTATCTATGCCAAAATCCCAGTCCTAGAGACTCTGCTTTAACTGATCTCAGATGGGATACATTCGTGGCTATCTTTAAAATTTCCCCTGATGCTTGAAGGTACAGCCAGGATTGAAAACCTCTCATTTAGACCAATCAAGATTCCTCCCTGGGGCTGGGGCTGGGGACCAGCCTGCCATGAAACACATGTCACCTGATTCCGGAACAGGACTGGGGTTCTATTTAGCAAGAAAGAACATGGAAGGGTGGATGGGGGCGGGGGCGGTGGCTGCTGGGAGGCAACCTCCAACATCTGCCTCCCCCGACCCGCCCCGACGTCTCCCTGCATGTGGAGGCCAGGATTCTGGCAGAGTTACCACACAGCTAGGAAATTTCTTCTTTCCTGACTCATCAGATGCCTTCCGTTATGCAATCCGGAGCTGAGGTCATACAAGGAAAGGAGACAATGGCGGGGCCGGGGTAGCGGAGGCTGCATCAGCTCAAAGCTTTTGTGAGTAACGGGGAGGCCAAACTTCAGTTTCCTCCGTGTGGTCTCTGACCACCAGGGCAACTTAAACTGCAGATTCCCGGGCTCCACTCCAGCCCTGTGGAACTAGAGTATCTCAAGGTGGGACCCGAGGACTGGCATTTTAACGGACACCGCAAGTGAGTTCCTATTCACTCTCAAGCTTAAGAACAACTGAACTAGATGTAGCAGAAACAAAGAAAAAGTGGTCAAGTTTTCAATTTCTCCAGGAGGCAGAAGCTTAAATATTAGCTTTCTTATTTTCTTTTGGGTCACAGTGATTTGGGAAGATGGAAAATGCTTGCCTTCAAGTTGGCTCATGGGGCTGAAAAGAATCAACTCTGAAAATTAACATGGTGAGGACAGTTGAGTTGCCTTGGAGGTGTGCTCAGTGACAGGCCCAATTCTGCGCTTGGGGAAGCCATTCTGTCCTGAGAAAAGAGGCAGCATGGGATGCCACCCTCAGGTGTGTGTGTTCCTTTAAGGTTCTCATGAAATACTGGGAAGAATATTAATTGGACCCTACTCCTTGATAAGCCAGTTCTTATCCCGGAACAAGTGAAATGGAAACAGGAAGCTGAACACAGTGACCTTCCAGGTCAGAACTGTCCTAACTGGGACCCTCAAGCTTCAAGGTCTCTAGTCTCCCCTGAGTCCATGCTGCATGAGGGGTGAATCTGGTCATCCGTGTCCCTGAATCCCGGGCTCTCCCTGGCCCAGAACACACCCACAAGTCCTCCTGGATCTCCCCCTGCCTCCCTAGCTGGTACCCTTCCGCCTGCCCCTCTGCTTCCCCTGGGGTCTCCCCTCTGCTCTGCCACACGGAATCCCCTGTGGCTCCCCAAATGCCTCCACGCCATTGCTTTGACTTCTCCTTCAGCCCTGCTTCCTCTGAGTCATTCTTCAATTCTTACAATGGGGGAGCCCATCCAGGAAGCCAGTCCTGAGCTCTCCCCTCCCTGCAGGAATCCCCACCCTCACCTATGGGTCCCAGCAGCTCTCCATGAAGACTTCATGGAAACATTTGCAGCCCTTTATAGCATGGATGTGAGCACATGTCCCCTCTGGCCTTGGAGAGCCCCTGAGGCAGGGTTTATCTCCATGTTCCCTGAGCCTGTAGACCCGCTGGAGCCCCTCAAGCGCTTGCCAGCTGAAGGAATGGTGTTTGGCCCACACATCTGTCTAGAGCCACATCTAAGACATGCTGTGTTGCAGGACAGTCTCCCCACCTTCCCGGGTGCCCAGGCCAGTCACCACAATCCTCTAACTCTAACAAGGAAAAACCACCAGCCTCTGCTGGGCCGAGCCCTCTAAGAAGTGAGAGAAGCTTCCAGAGCAGGAGCCTGGCCTGCTGGCCCTCTACCTTGAGGGCCTGGGAACAGACACGGAGGAGAGAAGGCAGGAAGGAGGGCAGGGGAAGGGGACGAGCAGGCAGTGATGCCTTTCTGGGATCCACACGCTTCGTAGTGGCATCTTCTCTGTCGTCTCCACAAAATCCCCTCAAAACAGGTGTCACTCTTCTCTCCGTCTCACAGAGGACACCAGCTCAGTGCGAGAACGCGCCCAAGGTTCCGCAGCAGGAAAAGGAGGCCTCGATCGGGCCAGTCTGCCTGGTGTTCGTTTGTTTTCTTTTTGGCTGTGCTGCGGAGCATATGGGATCTTAGTTCCCCGACCAGGGATCGGACCTGTGCCCCCTTCACTGGAAGCGCGGAGTCTTAACCACTGGACTGCCAGGTAAGTCCCCAGTCTGCTTGTTTTTCAATAAGCAGAAGGTTGGGCCAGGGTACGATGGGACCACCACTCATGGGCCAACTGAACAGAGAGGCTGCTCACCTGCTGGGAGATGGGTCCAACCTAAGTAGGAGGACAGGTGAGATGCTTCCAGACCGGCGCTCTATATAGACCCTACACACACATCCCTTTATACACTGATATAATAAAGCACGAAGCTCTTTAGTTCTGTTTTAATGGTTGTAAGAGGAAACTATATAAAACACGTGCATGCTGGCTAAGTCCAGGAGAGGAGATGCACATCTGGTAAGGAGAGATTTTGAAGTCACTTCTTAGCTGAGTGCGCTTGGACAAACGACTACACTCTACTGAGCCTCAGTTTCCTCACCTGCAAAATGGACATAACAATGTCTTCCTTGCCTAGTCGTTCAAGGATTTACAGTTATGTGAAGTATTTAGCTCAAGCCTGAGCCATAAAAGCGTTCAGTGAATGAGCTGTTATTAAAATTGTTAGTGCTACTATTAGGATACATTTTTGTCTCCTCCGAGCATCCAGCAGAGTGCTGAGCCCACGGGGGCAGGAACTGTATCTCTTTCCCTCAGCTCTGCATCTCTGGTGCCCAGACATCGTCTGGCACAACAGTGGCACTTGGTAAAGGTCTGCTGGGTTGAACTCAAGACTTGTTATTCTTCATTGTTATATGGCACTGTGCCCTTTTTCAAATCCTCTGAATATATCATTACTCTTGAGCCTTTCCCAATGCCTGTGGGGCAGGAAGGAGAGGTGATACTGTTGTTCCCATCTTATAGCTGAAAAAAATTGAGGCTTAGAGAGAGGATGCTTCCTGCCTAAGTCACGCGGCTGAGCTGAGCTGAGCTGAGGTCAGGCTCTTCAGACCGCAGGTTTCACAGCCACTGTGTGTGAAACCATCCACAGGAAGCAGACGCTGTTGCAAGGAGCTGAGCTGGAAACCCCCAGGGAGGCAGCCCCCCTGTCAAATACCAGCAGCCTCTGCCAATACATTTATTTATTTTTTACATCTTTATTGGAGTATAATTGCTTTACAATGGCGTGTTAGTTTCTGCTGTATAACAAAGTGAATCAGCTACACATATACATATGTTCCCATATCTCTTCCCTCTTGCGTCTCCCTCCCTCCCACCCTCCCTAGCCCACCCCTCCAGGCGGTCACAAAGCACCCACCTGATCTCCCTGTGCTATGCAGGTGCTTCCCACTAGCTATCTACCTTACGTTTGGTAGTGTATATATGTCCATGCCTTTCTCTCACTTTGTCACAGCTTACCCTTCCCTCTCCCATATCCTCAGGTCCATTCTCTAGTAGGTCTGTGTCTTTATTCCTGTCTTACCGGGATCTAATGAAACTTCAAAGCTTTTGCACAGCAAAGGAAACCATAAACAAGACCAAAATACAACCCTCAGAATGGGAGAAAATATTTGCAAATGAAGCAACTGACAAAGGATTAATCTCCAAAATGTATAAGCAGTTCATGCAGCTCAATAACTAAAAAACAAACAACCCAATCCAAAAATGGGCAGAAGACCTAAATAGACATTTCTCCAAAGAAGATATACAGACAGCCAACAAACACATGAAAGAATGCGCAACATCATTAATCATTAGAGAAATGCCAATACGTTTAGAAAGGGCTTCAGAGGATGACCCGGCGTAGGTCAACTGGTCCCACTGATCCTGGCCCATCTTTCTGCCATGGCTCAGTCCTGCTCTGCACCCGAGGTGGGTCCCAGCTGGACCTCCTGGCCCATCAGAAAGCACCTGGAGAGCCTCTGGATTTCAGAGCACATCAGGCAGGGATGGCCTAGGGCACTTGGAGGAGCTGGAAGCAAGAGGACTTTCCTCGCTGCAAACAACACCCAGGGTCTGCATCCTGGCCCAGATGACAGCCTCACTGACAGGTTTAGTACCACGTTTTATGACTTCCAAGCTTAGTCACTGCCTAAGTCAGTCCGCTCAGACACAAACACTTAGCAAAGTCATGACCCAGATGCTTAAGCAGGGAAAGGTGTACTCCCCCACCCCCCGGCAGAACTGGCCTCTGGAGCCAAGTCTGGGGACGCTGGAGGCAGCAAGGCTGTAGTGGTGGTATATTTCAGTGACCCACATGGTTGTCCTTTATTTTCCCCAAGTTTCCACTACTGAGTTTTAAGGGAGTAGGAAGCAGATGCCTGCTGCCTCCAGGGACAGCCCGACACAGGCCAAGGGCTTCTGATCCCTGTCCGCAGGCCTTCCTTGAGAGCTGAGCCTGAAGGCGTGAAGGGTGGAGGTTTGGTGCATCCTTTGGCAGACAGATCGACCCCCCTCCTGGCTTTCAGTTCACACACTGAAGATGGAAGACCAATCTCTGACCCAAAGCAGCTCAACCCTGGATTCCCACACGCTGTTCCCTACCCCCTACTCCCCAGCCCCAGCTTGGCCTCTGTGAAAACCAGAAGCCTCTCCAGAATCTCTCTGGCCTCCACGCAGGTCTGCAGTCCTCCCAGATGGAGTGGGGACGCACCTCGGGCCCGGGTGGGTGCGCCCATGGGAAGAGTGAGGTGCCCTGACTGCACAGCTGCCCTCCTGCTGTGAGGACAAGGTCCCTGCTGGGGACCCTTCCTCCAGCTCATTTGGGGGCCGCTTCTCAGACTGGAGAAGAGGTGAGGTGCCCAGTTAACTGGAAACTGGCTCTGAGCCAGAGTTGGGCTCTGTGGCTTGGAGGATGTCATTGCGATTAAGTGGGTTTACTTGCCCAGTTCCTTCACAGTGTGGCTTTAGGGCACTTGGTCACATCATGTGCTTTCATTCTTCAGGTGCTCACTTAACCCTTTCATCCTCGATCAAGTCACCATTGTCACTTGCCTGATTATAACCCCAAGAGCCTCCTCCCTGATCTGGTTGGAATGGCAGCTCCACTCCAGCTCCTTGGAATGAATAATAGTAATCATTTTTTTCCTTCTTTCCCTCGCTGGGATTTTTATCTTCTTAAACACAACCCATCTCCTTCATTTCTCTTTTTCCCTTTCCCAGACACTGAAGTTTTATTCTAAAAATTCCTCTTGATCTCTAGAGAATTATAATAGAACAAAACCTGCTGTAATGCTACTAAATGAGGATAAAAATTTTACATGCATGAAATAGAGTGGCATCATTGATAAGTTTATAAAACAACTGGGATGAGCTTGTGTAGCTGGGCAGCTCCAGGTTCTAGGGGCCAGCTGTCAATTACATCATGTCCAAATTTACATCATCACAGGATCAGTATTAATGCAAATGTCTTATTGAAGCAGCACCAACACCTACATTTTGGGCTTTAGCCCCAGAAGGTCCTAGATTTAAATCCTAACTCTGCCACATGCTAATTTTATGACATAGGCCAATGTATAAACCTCAATTCTAGTGTATCCATCTGTAAAACAGTAGAGAAAATACTTACTTCACAGAGTTGTTATGAGGTTGAAATACCGTATCAGCTAGCTACTGCTGTGTAACAACTACCACATCTCAGTGACATCCAACAATAAACTATTTATTTCTAATGTTTCTAAGGGTTGGCTGGGACCAGCTGTTGTAGCTGGGCTAGGCTGGGCAGCTCTGGTTCAAGCTGCATGTCTGGATGACTCCAGTCTCCTCCATGAACCTCACTGTGGGCCCAGGCTGAAGTGGCAATAGCTGCCTGGGGAATCTCTTCTCACAGCAATGGCAGAGACACAAGAAAAAGACTGCTCAAGCATAGTTCAAGTCCTTGCTTGCATCTTATCTATTATCATCCCATTGTCTAAAATAAATCACGTGACTGAGCCCAGAGACAGGGATCAGGAAACACAATCTGCCCTCAATTGGCCCATGGCAAGTGCATGGGTGCAGGGAGGAGTGAAGAATCAGGGTTGGTAATTCAGGCAACCACAAATGACAATGCTCATTCAGAGCCGCTATTCAGCTCCTGACATGTGGTAGGTGCTTAGTAAAAGGTAACCATGATCATTGCATGAGCCCTTAGAGTTTAGGTAAACCAAAGTGTCTCAGTCTCATCCTTGGCAAGTAGCAAAGTCAGGAATGGGCCTCAAGACATCTTGCTGCTGTTCAACATTTTTTTAAAGTGTCCCATCACCAGCCTCCCATGTCTGACTTCTCCTAACCCCATACACTGAGGGAGGGAGGTACGATAGATGGTGGGAATGTAGAAGTGAGAACCTTGGGCCTCAGCAGCCTAAGATACATCCAAGATGTATAGACTAAATATAAGGGGAGATTGGTCAGCCCCTCCATTCCCATTGGCTTAGTGATGGGGAAACCAGTGGGAAGAGCAACGCTGTGGGTTAGAATCCTGGTTCTGCTGCTCACTGGCTGAGTCACTGTGGGCTCCTGCAGATGGAAGTTCTTCCTGAGTGGTCTGTCTATATTAGGTCCCCATGTCATTCACTCTCATGGCACCCTTGGCCTTTTTTTTTTTTAACTGCATTTTATGGTGATGTATAATATAATTGTATATTTATTTGTGGGCTCATTTCTTTAATGTGGGTCTTGCTCACCAGACTGCAAGCTCCGTGAAGGCAGGGCCCATGTCTATTGGGTCAGTTCTTACCTAGTGCTTGGCACAGTATGTTCATCTGTGGGATGAATGAATAAATACAAACTCCCTGAGCTTTACTCTCCTCATGTGAAATACAAGATAATAATATGTTCTTTTTTTTAAAATCTCATTGATAGTTTTTAATATGATTTTTAAAAATTTATTTATTATTTATTTTTGGTTGCATTGGGTCTTTGTTGCTGTGCGCAGACTTTCTCTAGCTGTGGCGAGCGGGGGCTACTCTTCATTTCGGTGTGCGGGCTTCTCACTGCGGTGGTTTCTCTTATTGCGGAACACGGGCTCTAGATGCGTGGGTTTCAGTAGTTGTGGCTTGCGAGCTCTAGAGCGCAGGCTCAGTAGTTGTGGCGCACGGGCTTAGTTGCTCTGTGGCATGTGCGATCTTCCCGAACCAGGGCTCGAACCTATGTCCCCTGCATTGGCAGGTGGATTCTTAACCACTGCGCCACCAGGGAAGCCCAATATGTTCTTTAAAGAGATTTTTTTTTTTGAGAAACGTGAAGAAAACTATTTGGGGCATGCCTTCTATGGGGCCTGGCATGGTATGGGTGCATGGTACACAGTAATATATGCCCAGCACTCCACCCTTAATTCTTACCATTGAGTGGTTAAGTGCGCAGAGTTGAGATGTTCAAAGCAGACCTGTACTTCTAGCTTCTCTTTCTAGCTTCTCATTCCCCATCTCCACAGTGACACTGGGGGTCTCAATCCTAGATACCTGGGCTGCCTGCCTGAACTGTTCCTGTCTAGCCAATAGGGAAAGCCCTCGTCATTCGTCCCCCTCTATCTCCATCCCCTTCCTCATGTCCCTGAGGTCCTTCTGACTCAGGGTTGTTATTTGCTGAGGACACACTGGTAAGTCCTCATGGTGATTAAAATACTGAAATCCTCTCATACCAGATGGTACAAAGTATGAGTTCATGAGACTCTAAACCATCAAATGACATTGGCCCAGGTAGCCCAGAGGTTACCAGGTGGCCAGATGCTGGAGAGGACGCTGGCAGCCCCTGCTGGCACCAGCTGGATGGGGGCAGCAGGGGTGAGCGCCATGCCTGCCCACCACTCCAGAGCAGCCAGCATTGGTGGGCACAACAGAGCCATGCCTGCCCACCGCTCCAGAGCAGCCAGCGTTGGTGGGCACAACAGAGCCGGTGGCAAGGCAGACAGCCACTGTCGCAGAGGCTCTTTGCCTCCAGGCCACAGGGCAGGTGTGTGTTCCTAGCCATGATGTGTGGGCATAAGGCCATGCTTCACTAGCTGTAACAGAACACCAGGTGCCAAGGACCCAGTGACCATCAATCTGATGGGGACAACCTTAGAAGGATTTGATGCAGTCCTGATAGTGAACCGTGGCTCAGACAGGGACCTCCCAGCGAGTGGCAGCCAGAACAGATTAAAAAATCACTCCACAGATGAGTTGATAATTATTAGAGGGATTGAATAAATGATTTGTGTCACAATGTTTATTCCTAAGATGAAATGTAAGCATAAATAATTTTGTGAAGTTGGAGATAGAAGGGAACTCTGTTTTGGATTTACATATGGCCCAGGCTGTACATATTCTGCACAGGATGCCCAGATATTTGGTCAAACATTATTTTAGGTGCGTCTCTGAGGGTGGTTTTGGATGAGATTAATATCTGAACCCATAGATGGTATAAAGCAGATTGCCTTCCTGCTGTGGGTGGGCCTCATCTAAATAGTCAAAGGCCTGAATAGAACAAAAAGGCTGACTCTTCTGCAAGTAAGAGAGAATTCCTCCTGCCTGACTGTTGAGCTGGGACATCAGTCTTTTCCTGTGTTTGGACATGAACTGAAGCAGGAGCTCTTCTTGGGTCTTTAGTCTGCTGGCTTTCATAATGGAATGTACACCATCAACTCTCTTCGTTCTCAGACCCCTTCAGACTATACATGCATATCTCTTGCTGGTTCTGTTTTTCTGAAGGACCCTGACTGATACAAGCCCCAATTCCTCAGACTCCCTTTTATTCTCCTAGTTTTGGTGTGTGTTGGTATCTATCAAGGGCCATGAGGAGGAAAACCTCCCACCCCACGAATCCGTGGCCATTGGTATTATACCTCCTATTTCTGCTGTGTCCTTCCCCTCTGGCTGCCTCCCCGTCATGTTGCTGAATCCTGCTTTGGGGTAGGCAGAGTGATCCTGAAAAGATGGTGAACTGGCCCAGAGGGGTCATTCCCAAAGGCACTATCTGAGTCGCAGGGAGACTTCCACAGGGGGTGGGCTTAGTGGGTGCTGATTCATGTCCCTTTTCCCAAAGACAAGAGGCTGAGTGTCAGGGTTGCTAATCCGTCTCAGAATGGCTCCTGGCTCAACCCACATGGAATTAAATCCAGAATTAAAATTCAGAGCTTGTTCTGGACTCGAAGGGCAGACTTAGCTGTTTTCCTCAGGGATAAAGAGAGGCCCAAGGCTGGCTTGGGAAGCGTTGTCACAGCAGTTCAGAGCAGAGGGGCCACTGGGTTGGTGGACTGTCTGCTGAGTGTTGAGAGAAGACAGAGTCGCTGTCACCACGGGGTTTACAGATGTAACAGGGGAGCCTGGAGTGGGCACAGGAGGCTAAAGGGCCCTCAGTCAGGGAACAGCCTCTTGCCTTCCCTGTTCCAGAACGTCAGCCCTCGCTGCAGGCAGTGGTGCCCACACTGCTGTACCTGGGGCTGCCACCTCCCCCTTAGCCTTGCTTTAAGTGTGTTAAAAAATGAAATTTAAATGAGTAAATCTGAAGATCTAATTGGCTTTATTCAATGATTCAAGAATGCAGCAGCATCCCACCTAGTAAGTAGAAGGGTGCTCAGAGGGGTTGTATGAACTGGAAGGTTTTTATAGGCAGGAGGAGGGCGGCACACAGAAGCTATCAACAAAAGAAGAGGATTGTTTCAGACCAGATCACCTTCTTTCAGGGGGTGGGGGGTGGGGATGAGGGTCTATCACGCAGGTTACCTCTTCATCCCTTGGTGGGGGGATGGACAGGGCCCTGTGATAGAGTACTTCACTGGTGCTGACCAGAAAATTCCAGACTGGCCGATTACCACTACACTCCTGGGGAAGGTCAAAACTACAGTTAGGTCAGGTATGCAATCTAGGTCAGTTAGCATGGGTTTTAGCACAGGTGACACCATTTGGGGCCTTTGGATTTTCCGTTTAACAGGTGGCTGTCTGTTTCTTTCCTAACTTTCTGGTAATCCTCTTCCAGGGGCTGCATGTGGCCATGGCAAGAGGAAGACAGGAGACAGAAGGATCCAGGTTGGAAGCCGGTCGGCTCTTTCTTCACCCCCAGCAAGCCTGCTTTTCACTCCACTCAGCTGTGCCCTCAGGCCTGGGCCCAGCTGTTTCTCCGTTCAGTTTCCCGGGTGCCCAGGGCATGACCCAAACCCTAGGGACCCCACATGGGGAACTCACTTATGCGAGGAGGTGGCATAGTGTAGTGGTTAATTCCGGAAGGACAGTGTGGGTTCAGATCCCAGCTCTATCCCTCAGTAGCTGTATGACCCCATGTCAGTGCCTGTCTATGTGCCTCACTTTCTTCCTTTAAAAAATGGGAAGGATAATGGTTCCCACCTTCTGGGGTTGTTCCAGTTAATGTCATTAATGGATTAAACGAGTTAAGACCATAAGACACAGGGTCAGGTTTATCATAGGCACTCCCTTATGTTGATTATATCATAATTAATTGTGATTAATTACAGGTGGGCCACCATGACCTTCTTCATTGCTCAATAAGATGATGTACTTGCCAGGTGTTGCAAGGGTCCCAGGCAGGTTCTCTGAATTCTTATTCCTTCTTTTCTCCTTGGTGAAGGCCCTTTCCTCTCACTGTTGGTTGTCAGAGATTCAGCCTTAATTAATAAATCTGTAGAAATGCAGTTAGGAGGGGAGACACCCTGGTCTAAGATGTCGCCTTGTCTTGAAAGGCCCAGAAGCTGGGGGCAGGTCCTCCTTGGCCCCAGAGTTGGGAGTGGTGATTACTGCCCAAAAGCCTGGTTTCTAATGGTCCAGGCCCTATAGGCCCTTCCAAGTTAGCCTACGTCCATGGTATGCTCCCCACCGCTGCAGGACCGGGAGAACTCACAAGGGGGAGCCCCCAGCCCAGCCACAACCATCAGCCTGACCTGGAACAGCCAGTTTTTGCGCTTTCTCTTGCTCCTAAATGAGCACCACCCTTTCCCTCCTGATTTGGAGATAATCTTTGTCTCCCTTTCTCTTTGGGTGTCTGTGATGAGTAATTTTTTGTTTTTTTTTGCCTTACGCGGGCCTCTCACTGTTGTGGCCTCTCCCGTTGCGGAGCACAGGCTCCGGACGCGCAGGCTCAGCGGCCATGGCTCACAGGCCCAGCCTCTCTGCGGCATGTGGGATCTTCCCGGACCGGGGCACGAACCTGTGTCCCCTGCATCGGCAGGCGGACTCTCCACCACCGCGCCAGCAGGGAAGCCCTGTGATGAGTAATTTTATGTGTCAACTTGCCTGGGCCCCAGGGTACCCAGATATTTGGTCATACATTATGATGGGTGTTTCTGTGAGGCTGTTTCTGGATGAGATTAACATTTAAATCAGTGGCCTAAGTAAAGCAGATTGCCCTCCCTACTGTGGGTGGGTCACATCCAATCAGCTGAAGGTCTGAATAGAACAAAAAGGTTGACCATCCTCTGAGTAAGGTAGAATTCTCCTTGTCTGACTGCTTTCTGACCAGGATGTTGGCTTTTTCCTGCCTTCCAACTGGAACTGAAGCATTGGCTCTTCCTGGCCCTTGGCCTGCCAGCTCTTGGAATGGAACTTACACCACTGGTTCTCCTGGGTCTCAGGCCTTCAGACTCAGCCTGGAGCTACACCACTGGCTCTCCTTGATCTCCAGCTGGCCGCACACCCTGCAGATCTTGGGACCTGTCAGCCTCAATGACTGTGTAAGCCAATTTTGTAGAATAAATCTTTTCCTATGTATATGTACGTCTTAGCAGTTCTATTTTCTGGAGAACACTGACCACCACAGTGCCCTACTCTGGAAGTGCAGGGGCCTTCCTTTCAGGTTCCAGAGCCCTTCCCCCATTTCTCCCATGTGGCCCAGGAACCCCCTGCTGAAGAGGCTCCTGCAGTTTCCTAGCCCTCCCAAGGGGAGTGTCACCCCTGTGCCTGTGACCCCCTCCCGACCCATAAATGCCTGCATGTTTTGGGAGCTCCACTTGGCATCAGCGCGAGCACATTGCCAATCCCCACTCCATCCTGGCTTCAGAGGGAAGCAGAGAACATGATGAATAAAACCCATCACAGAGCCTTGACCTGGGTGTTAATCAGGTCTCATGCAAGAAGCAGCAACGTTACAATTAAGTAACCGGATGGCCTCAATGCAGAGGCAGTGTTTGTTGAATTGAGTCTTCAGCGGGTTAACTTTCCTCAGATGAGTAAAAATGATATTTGGGATTAAGTTTTCACTGCACTGAATGCATTACTGGATTTCTGCTCCTCGTCACTGGAAAGGGGACGTAACCTTCACTAAGGCGGTCTGCGGGGACTGGGACAGCTGGCATAGCCGCAGAGCGCTGACTGACCACAGGGGATTAAGGCCGAACACAACTCATTTCACACTGAGAATAAGCTGATTTGTTTTTGTTTTTAAATAAGCCTTATTAAACTGGCTGCCACTCACGTTGGATCTGCGGGAGCATCACAGGGCAGGGCTTGGCCATCCCTCGCTTGGCCGGCAGAAAACTGCTTTCAAACAACTGCTCCTTCCTGTGTCAAATCGGGAATAACCTGGAGAGCCTCGTTGCTGGGGGCCCTGGGGAAGGGCCGGAAGTTGTACTCCCGGGGAGTAGCTGCGTGTGGGCAGCCTTGGGCCCACTTGCTAAACTGCAGGGACTGCTATACGGGGTCAGGTGGGCACAGCTGTGTCTCTCTGCAAGTCTCCCTGCGTCCATCGGCCTTTCTGGAGCCCCTCCTAGTGGGGCCTTTCCCGACTGTACTTGACTTCCCATTCCGATACCCTCTCCTCCCCCTTTCCCATCCTCTCTACAGGCCTCTCTAGAGACCTTGCCTTAGTTCTAGAATAGACCAGCCACTCTCAAAGTGTGTTCTGGGAATGTTTGGGAGTCCCCTGAACCCTTTTAAGACCCAGAAGGTCAAAACTATTCTCATAAGAGAATATTATGCTGTTATTTTTGCCTTTTTCCCTTTCCTTCTTTCATGAATGTGTGGTGGGGTTTCCCGGAGCCTACGTGACATGTGATGATGTCATCACCCTGATGGACTGTGTGCTTCTGTGTTTTTGTTTGCTACACATTTCTCAGCTTTAATTTTGAATATGGAAAATATCAATAGATATCAATCATATAAGCACAAGCTCTTTGGAGTTCTTCAAAACGCTTTAAGAGTGTAAAGGGGTCTTGAGACCAAAAAGTTTGAGAATCTCTGTTCTGTATCTTTCTTGTTTTTTTCCTTCACGGTGAAGTACCATGTTTATTGTCATATTTATGTGTTTTTTAACCATTTAACACTTGTAAAACGGTGCTACTGTTTTATTAGGTTCCTACATATTTTTTAAAATGTGTAATTGACAAAATTTTTGAGTGTTCTGTCCCAACTCCATTTTTCCCATGAACTCTATAATTATTATGCAATTTAAAAAATTGTTCTAATTGTGATAAAATACACATAACGGAAAATTTAACATTTTAATCACTTTTAAGTGTACAGTTTAGTGGCATTAAGTACACTCATATCATTGTGCAACCTTCACCACTTTCCACCTCCAGAACTTTTTCATCATCTCAAACTGAAAACCTACACCCATTAAACAATAGCTCCCCATTTTCCCCTCCCCCCAACCCCTGGTAACCACCACACTACTTTCTGTCGCTATGAATTGACTACTCTAGGTATGTCATCTAAGTGGAATCAGATGCTATTTCTCTTCCCTGCTTCACGTTTCCGCTTACTATTAATGTACAGTCTCTCAAAACTTCCTCACTAGCCTGAGCGCTCCTGGGTCCACTGTCAGCACTCAGCCCCCTCTTGACGTAAGCCAGGTGGTTAGCTGGACAGAAACCGCCCTCTGTCCCTCGAGTTGCCCCTTGGGGTGTCTGCCCACCTCTCCATCCAAGAGCTTATCAAAGTATTCACAGAAAGAAGCTGGCCGTCTTGCTAGGGTGTCTTTGCCAAGAGACAAAGACAAATACAAGCTGATGCATTCACTAAAGTGTTCGCTCCGGCTTCTTCCTGTCATGCCGTGCCCCTCCCCAATCTAGGGCAGTTGGACCATCACCTCAAGAGAGGATCATTGTAGCATAGTGAAGAGAACAAGAGTTCAAATTTTGGCTTTTGAGTTTTGAAAGCCAAGGTCCAACTCTGGAACAAAAGATCTGGAAGATCCTGGGTGATCACCCCAAGCCAGTTCCCCCCGCCCCCAGGAGAAGAGATCCAGCGAGTCCCAATGAAGGCTGGGTAGTGGGGGTTATAAAGGGGAGCAAGAGGCCTGGGGTGGGCTCCTCCTCCCTGAGTTCCTATGTACATTGTAAGCAGGGAGAGGGCAGGGAGGGGACACAACAGAACCTAAAACACATTTGGAGATCTGAGAGCAGAAATGGGTACGTGCCCAGGAAAAGGATGCAGGAAAAGGTGCAGGTGTGTGCCCAGGAAAGGGGTTTGGCTTCTATTCTAATGGCTTTGGGAAGCCAGCAGGGATGCACTGGGCTGTAATGTAATCTGATTTACATTTTTTAAAGAACACTCTGCTCTGGGTGGAGAATGGATTAAAAGAATGAACCTTTTGGTATGGAAAGGAGAGAAAACTTTTTGCTACTTACAACCAATGCGCCTTTCTAAGGAGGGTGGATCCCATTATATGAAAGGCCCTTCTGTCCAGGGTCGCAAAATCCTGGAGCAGAGGCTGGGATGAACTGAATTTCAGTGTCTAAGAAAAGGGAAGGGACTTCCCTGGTGGTCCAGTGGTTAGGACTCTGTGCTTCCACTGCAGGGGGCACAGGGTTGATCCCTGGTGGGGAACTAAGATCCCTCAAGCTGCGTGGCCCGGAAAAAAAAACCGGGGGGGGGGAGGATTTATTATATCTTTGGAGTTGTTCTTTTGAGAGAGGACAGAAATATGGGGAGAAAGGAAGGGAAATACCAAATAAAAATCCAAAGATCAGAACCCTATTTCAGAAACACCTGGGGGAATTTTTAGCAACAGGTATATTGAACTGTGAATTTTAAGTTATATGTATCTTAAGATATAAATCCTTTCAGTTCCCCTAAACTTTCAGTACTCTGTACACATATGAATAGCTGTGTATGAGGGGTGTGTGCATGTGTGTGTGAGCGCACGTGTGTGCGTTATAGAAAAGGGCTTAATCTGGATAAATGTGGCATGGGACAGAACAGTATGTGTGGGATTACTAACAGAATGATTTCAGGGCTGCCCAGGGTGAGGAATCAGAGGCGACCCTACAACTGCAAACTCCTCCCCGCTTCTCTCAGAGAATTTCCAAAAAACTTGGCAGGGCACTGACTTGGGAAAATCTGCAGAATGGGGATTGGAAGCATTAATACTTAGAATTTAAGGAGTAAGTCATCATCAGCTGATATCTGATCTGTAAACACTTCGGAGTTTATAAAGTAATTTCACACCTTATTCATACCTAAAAGTGACATGAAATTTTTTAAAAAGGCTTTCCCTGAGAAATTATCACCCTCTGGTTTTGGAGTTGAAGATTATTCTGAAGGAGTGTGAATTGCAAGATCTTCTTGAGAAGCTATCAGGCAGTGCCTGGTACAACTTAAACACACATTTCCTCTGACTCAGCAATCCCACTCCAGGACTCTGCCCTATAGCATCAAAACCCCAGTATGTCATGAGAGATGCATAGTAATTATTACAGGGTTGTTTATAATAATAGCA